AGTGTGCAGCTCTGGGTTTGGGTGAAGGGTTGGCAAAGTCGTCATCGGGGTTATTTGAGTGTTCTGGGTTAGGTCAGTGTCTGGCTTGGCTGTTTGTCGAGAGCCTTCATGACGAGTTCATCGTCGCCTCTCGTATCTACAGGAAACAAAGTGGGTGAAGACGCTTAAGATTTCATTTTTGATTCGAATGGATAATTAACTGCAATTGGCTGGCAAGCAGTCGAGGGCGTAGCAAACTTTAGAGTTGTGATGAGCACGCACCGATGCAGTCAGGACAGCACGAGCCGTCTCTGCGAGTGATGTTGGAGCAGGTCAGCACTGGACATTGCTTACGCTGACATTTGGTCACACCATGCTGTGGGAAATAATAAAGGGACATTAGTTGGGTGTATTGTTGAGGGGTGGGGTGGGGGGGGGGACCACATATTTCGAGAAAGAGCTGCTGCTTCATTTTTCACTTTTATTAAATGAAACCCAGAGGGACTGGCCATGGTTCCAAAACAAAACACAGACACGTTATTATTTATTAAAGTGGATATGAAAATCAAAAGCAAACCTTATTGACACTGGCAGAGGCAACGCAACTACTTCCACTTTGGATATCTAAAGAATGTAAGTGCAATATTTATTTTCCGATTAGTTCGGTTTTGGTGCTCTCAAGGGAAATTTCTGCCAATTAGATTATCTCATGCACCGCAAGTCACGACTTTTGTGAAACACATAAGCCTTCTCTTCGATGACAATGCACAGGATGCAACTATGGGATGCTAGGTAGTTCCTGTGCCCTCAGGTGGTTATTGGCTATAGACGGAAAACAGGACGAACCACACGAAGGCTGCCATCTTAGCCCAAACCATTGGTACTGTTGGATGGAAGACGAAAGCAAAAGTTGTATCACAAAATGCTTTCAATACATATTTGAGTTGAATTCTTTGAGGGCAAAAAAAAAACATCCTTTAAATAAAAACATGATGAGCCTAACTTTGACACAGGTCTTACTTAGGCAAGAGCATGGACAAAACTACTGCGACACTTGAAGTGTAACTTGAAATTTGTAACTTCGCTTCAGCTTTATATTATTAACAAGCTCTCGGTCGTCAATGAAAGCCCGCCCCGCCGTTGGTTTAGCAGTATAAGGGGTGTCACGAGGGCTGGCTTTATGCCCCAAAGTGTTGAATTTCAATACGTTTGTCCATAATGGCTGGGTTCACATCACTTAGCTTTGACAATACTTACATCACACCAGCAGTTGATGCACTTCATCTCTCCCACCAAGGGCACCCATGGATGCCAGTTGTCGCTGTTGTGGTAATAGTTCTTGCCAAATTTGCAGTGTCTCGGCCCATCCGCCTGCATCATGTCGGTGTGTTCCAGGTCGCCGGGTGTCTTCTCCTCCTCCGGACATTCTTTACAGCAGTCCGACGGATTTCGTCTCACGGGATGACTGCATGTCACCGGTGGACACGTCACCTTCTCGCAGTGTACCTCGCCTGTTGAGCCCTGTGAGAGGTGACTACCATTTATGAATCCAAGTAAAAAATGACCAATGACATAAAAGCAACATGACATTGATGCATTAAAATCTGAAACAATCAACAACAAAAAAAGGATTTTTGTCGGTAAGCAAGCACGCCTTTGTGTGCCACGTGACGATGTATCCGAACGCCACTGCACAGACGACTTCATTTCGTCTTGTAAACTTGAACTCTCGTATGTCGGGATCGGCGTAAACTGAGGACCCCCTATACTAAGCATACAAGAGACATGTCTTCAGACCTGTTCCTTGGGAGCTAACACAAGTTAAATGACCCATCAAAGGCCTTGCAAAGTAAAGCCAGATGTGAGTGCTGGTGCATGTGTACCTTGCAAGTGCAGACGGCACATTTAATGTAACCAAAGGGAGGTACAAAAGGATGCCATGTCGTTCCTGGGGCATGCATTTTCTGGTCTCCCTCAAAATAACAACCTAAGAGAAAGACATTCGATTGTTACAATGATGACAGCTGGCAGGGAAATACCCAACTGATTTGCAGTCTATACTTGCAAACAGACGCACGACACAAACAAATTCCAGATGCGAGGAAGAAAAACACCCACCTTCAGGATTTTCTTCCACTTTTTCAAGAGCTTTTGTGTCCTTTGCGTCCTTCCTCTCTGGATGGCAACAAAGGAATGGGGGCATAACTCATGATTACATACCAAAAGCAGGATGCATACTACCAGTAAAGTTAGTAATACAACATTTGAATTGAATCCAACATCATCAAAACAAATACCGTCATCGGTTTAAAAAAAATAATAATAAAGTACACAAAAGGCAAATAGGTTAATTGCCATCTAGTGGAAGACTGTTACGTTGCTCTGCCTGTGACGATATGTCGCTGGCGTAGATAGATGAACAAAGACACAATATCTGGACTACAGAAATAATTTTAGTGAAATTGGAAAATTTTCCGTCGCATGCCTGATGATCTCATAAGGCACACTGGTGTAACGTCATTTAACAAGATTCTCACCATCACAGATTGGACAGCATTTATCGTCAGGCTGGATAGTTTGGGAACATGTCAACACTGGGCAGATTACGGGATCACAGATCACAGTTCGCTTCTACGGAGAGAGAAAAATGGGATTTCCCTGCAGTTAGGATCACACTTGAAAGAGAACAACCACATTTCCTTACGGTTTCAACTTTCAAACGTAAGTCTCATTAGGTTTCTTTTTAATTACCTGGCAGCTACAGGAGAAACATTTATCATAGTTGGGAGTCCAGCTGGCTCCGTGGGCGTGGTACTGGTTCTCAAAGGAGCAGGTATGAGGGTCTTTCTTCAACATTTCGGGATCTTTGACAAAAAGGTCGTCAAACTCAGCCTCATCAACGTCCCCTTTAATCCCAAACTCGCAGTTGTTGGGCGCATGGACCTGGAGAAATGACAAGATTGTAAAGAACATTGAAAGAGAGGACAGTGAGATGTTGGAACTTCTCTGTTTACTATTTATGTGGTGGACCAGTTTGATATTCAAGCAGATGGACTCAAATGTTTTTTTTGCGATCCATCCATCCATTTTCTGATCCATTACTCTCAAGGGTCACTTGTGCTGGACCCAATCCCAGCTGTCTTGGGGCGGTAGGCGGGGGGACACCCTGAACTGGTTGCCAGCCAATCATGTTTTTTTACAAGACTAAAATATCCATCCAAAAAAATGCTAATTAACATTCATTCTATTTTCTACACAAGAAAATGGGGGTATTGGGAAAAAGAAATCCCAGAAAAATATTTTTAAAGTACAGAAAAAAATTATCATCGATTACGCAAATCCATGGGTGCCGAACTGCGAGTATGCAGTGGTCGACAGTAGTTTTAAGTTGTGATATCACCATTTACCACAAGATGGCAGACATGGCTGAGTTGCCAGATTATGCATCCTCTCTTAGCTATGTCGTGTTGGGAACTGGAGTACATTTGTAAGATTAGCCGTAAAATGCTTGTCTTGTCATATAAAATAGTTCTTTTACAAGAGCACGTGTGTAGGTCGGGTCAACGTCCTGTAGCTTTGCTTGCAGTTATAAAGTGGTTAAGGTGTTATGTTTTATGTGCAGCCCGGTTTTTCTCACATTTCAATATTCTTCATCCATCAGACAGTTTTTAACTACACAGTTGGACTGTAAATGTTTGAGGAAATACCCGCCCCAAAACAACTAATCAAATTCCACATAATGCTCTGTTGAGACTTGTTCTGAATGAAAATGTGATAACTAAATAAGACAGACCACGAAACACGAATGAACTGGCCGATGTGTAACAAGGAAACTTTTCTTCACATACCCTTCCACGAATTTCTCCCCTTGGGTTCAGCTTGGTGCTGACCTGGATGAAGGCCGTTCCTTTGTCCAAGTGCTGCAGTAATTCTGCGCTGATGTCCTTCAACACTCCCTGAGCCTGGAGGAGACAAGCGATGGTTTGAAACAGACTGAGATTGTGTCCGGGTTCTGCGTTCGTGGGCCTATGGAGCCAGGACTGCAAGTCTCGACAATATTTGTGGCGATGTACCTGTGAGCCGTAGAAGCCAGTCAGCAGTCTCTTATGATTGATATTGCTGTCATCCAGCTCCCCGATCTCAGCGAGGCCGTGCAGATGGGCGTTCACGGTGAGGTCATCAGCCTTGCTGAGGCCAGCCACAACAATCTCATAATGAAGGTGACAATATTTGTCCACCGATACCCAGGCGTGGCCAGAAGCGCCGGTTCTAATTGGGGGCGACACAAAGTGGCCGGCAAGAGGGGTGGGCAACTCTAGAGGAGCAAGTAAACAATTCAATGAGTTGTCGGGATGGTTTCGTGAATGTAGAATTGCTCTAATCGTGTCGACCAATGATCCTTACCATGCCTCGGAGCCTCCAGGCCACTATAGGGCAGTGCTTTGATCTGGCCTCGTAGTTCCCCATCTTGGTTTTGACCCGTAGCCACATTGATGAAGAGTTCATTCTGCAGCAGCATGTGAATGCTTCGGGCCTCCAAGCGACTCCAGCTGCCCACTGCCCTTCCCGTGGCCTTATTGTACTCCGGCGTTAAGTCGTACAGTACAGAGCGCTTGTTTCGCCGCCGTGGTTTCAACTCGATTGTGAGGCCGATCATGTCTCCGGTAAGACCTGCAACTTGAATCTGAGAACGGGGGAACAGATTTGGAATTTATATTGAAATTGCTGATATTACTTTATTTTCTAATGAGAATCCACCAAACAAACATCATCAGTATTACTAATTTACTGTAAAAAAAAAATAAAAAAAAATGTATAAAAAGAAATAAGAAACTCAAAACCCTACAATATTCAGAAGCTCTAGCTAAGGTCGTTGAAACAACAAGCTAGCAAAATACTTTTTCCACTTGTACATGAGAAATGCGTAAAATGAAAATTAACATTGGTTCTAAATCCAAACAGATCCATACCTGATAATCCAACGTGCCGTTATCATGAAGGTTAAAGATGGCGGAGCCCGTGCCTCCTGTCTTCCCAGGAGTCAGCGCATCACCACTGGACAGCACGCTTTGGATAGCTGAACCACACACAAGTGACTTTCATCAAAACCTGCTTAACTGCACATTCTCCCCGCAGCGTAATCCTCCCTTCAGACTGCTGTCGTCTGACAGCATGCAAAATGAGACAACGATGACTGTCATATTTGCTTCTTGGTTTAGGAGGGTCAAGAGGCGTGTGCCACACTCACACTGTGTTAGCATGCACATGTCAAATGAAAAGTCAACGAGGGCACCTTTATGACCGACAACATCTGATCCTATGTGAGACCTTGCAGGTACATATGACGATAGGATATGTGGTCGCACTGTGTGGCGCATTCACAAAAACACACCCAAGGTAAAGTCTTGGTATGAGGTAACCCTCGCTGAATGCAGTAGGCTTAAAAGGATTCAGCGGGAATTAGAAGCAGAGGGGAGAGAACAGTGTATAAAAAAACGAAAAAAGGGGCAAGAAAAAAAAAAAAAAGCAGAACGAACGAGGCCGTAGATGTGCTCAGAGACTGAATGATGAAGAAGAGGAAGAAAAGAGACCAGAGGTGAGAGTGAAAAGATCGTGTCGGGTTCAAATTCTTCACACATGACATCACAGCACCAACAGTAACAACCGACGAGGACTGTCAGGTCCAGCGGACTGTGACCTTAAGGCGTGTAAGCCAACTTTCGCTGTGTGTGTGAAAAATAACATGCAAGCATGGGGAGAACATGAAAACTCCAGAGATTCTTCCTCAGAACTGTGAGGGAGAAATGCTTTGGGGAAAGGCAAAACAGCGCACATAAGATCTCCGATGCAAAGAGACGTAACCAAACATATTTTTGTGCGTTTTTTTTTTTTTTTTTTAACAATGACATGAGACATTTCCCAGAAGCGTGTCCAGTCCCAACAAGGCATACGTTCGGTTGTACTTACTGTCACAGGATTTTCTGCCAGTAATGAATCCTGAGATCTGCTGGGAACGGTGACCCTCTGTTGCCACGGCGATCTTGAGCTGCCCGCGAGAGAGCCAAAAGAGTTCTCGGCTATTCAGGTCTGTCAGCACCTCCGCAAAATCTGGATCCTGCACAGATTGGATCGGTCAAACAGAAAGTACGATGCTGATTGCACAAATAATAAAAGTCATCGAACTGAAAAATCCTCCCTCCCGTATCCAACCGCAGTCATTAAACCCAGAATGAACACATCAAATATCAACCAGCTGTTTACACCCTAAAAAAAACCAAAATTTTTTTTTTCGTTTTTTTTTTTTTTTTTTTAACAATGACATGAGACATTTCCCAGAAGCGTGTCCAGTCCCAACAAGGCATACGTTCGGTTGTACTTACTGTCACAGGATTTTCTGCCAGTAATGAATCCTGAGATCTGCTGGGAACGGTGACCCTCTGTTGCCACGGCGATCTTGAGCTGCCCGCGAGAGAGCCAAAAGAGTTCTCGGCTATTCAGGTCTGTCAGCACCTCCGCAAAATCTGGATCCTGCACAGATTGGATCGGTCAAACAGAAAGTACGATGCTGATTGCACAAATAATAAAAGTCATCGAACTGAAAAATCCTCCCTCCCGTATCCAACCGCAGTCATTAAACCCAGAATGAACACATCAAATATCAACCAGCTGTTTACACCCTAAAAAAACATCTCACAAAAATGAGCGAAGGACAGCCAAGTCAAGCAAAAGAGCGAAGGAAGAATAAAATCTCCCGCAGAGAAATTTGCTCAACCAAAAGTGCATCAAGACTACAAATGGCCATGTTCAGGGTATCCAAGGACTCGTGTAAAAACAATGCCTTCAAAATCTGGCTTGCATTGCAGTTGCATGCTGAGATGAATTCCTCGCAGAGTGACTACACTCTAGAAAGATGCACATCGCTGAGTGCACTGGAGCATAACGCTCGATGAACAACGCAGATGAACACGAGCGATGAAGAGATTTTACTTTTGTGACGGTGGGGCTTCAGCTCAGTATAAATATAACTCAGTATAAATATACGTATCTCATAAATCCATGGTGGGAGGAGCCTAAAGAAGTGAACGTGTAACGGACGCAATAAGGATGAGAGTATGGGGTGAATTACTGGTGTTCGTTCTTGCACACCCTTCACAAAGTATGAAGTCAACAACGGAGAAAAAAGAATGATGTGTGACATGTTTTCGGATGCCTTAGTCACTCTGCTTGATTCACAATGAGTCAGCTGGACTTCAAGGACATTAAAAAGAAGTCGCGGCGGCAGCTGAGCGCAAACTTTTTCACATGGTCACGCTCGCCGACAGGCCTGAAAGAGACGCGCCGGTCCTTCACGCCATTCCAGGCAGAATTAAAACCAGGCTCTCTTTTCATCGATTCTCCTCCCCTCCCTTTTGCTCTCTCCATCCATCTCAGCCCACAGACCACTAACCACTGGCATGTGTGAAAAGTGTGGATGCAGTCCATCCTCCGTCGAGCGCCTCCCTCCATCTCTCATCCCGGCCTCACATCTGTCTCCGGCGAAGCGACACTCTGTTGCACTAAAACACTTTTTCTTCTTTGTTGTTTCCTATCATTCTTCAATCCATTTTTTTTCTTTTATCATGTCTCAGATAAGTTAGCTCGGATCAGAGCGATGGTGACAACAGCGCTAGGATGTGGTAGTCAGACCACATCCATCTCTGAGGGAAAGAGGGCGTCTTACTGTATCTTGGGCTCTTTAAATACAGCAACCCCCTAATTTTAAATGTGGAATCAAAACCCTTAAACTACCCCACTTATTACATGCTACCATGGAGGTTTTCTGTCTATTCACTATTTGTTGGTTACGAGAAAGCAAAATTTTACATTTACATACCTGATACATTTTATTCACTTAAAAGCATGGACTTTTTTTTTTTTTTACAGTTTACTGTAAACAGTGCAGAAATATCAATGACGAAATCTCGGCGCAAGTGTGAGGGGAGTAGTTCGCAATGCCTTTATGAAAGCGCTCTTGCAGTTTATTTTTCATGCTGTTTATTTGTCAAAATAGTTGTCAGCTGCTTTGACAATTACTCACATGAGATGTGATATTGGCCTGGATCTCTCTCAGGACATGTTGCCTATAAAGCAGTTGCACACGAATGGGAAGCAGAAGGGGTTCTGTGGACCAAAAAAAAAAAAAAAAGACGGAGCTTACTTTTCAAACTTGTAATAGATGCAAAGACAGAATGAGTGATGAAGTGATCAACCACAACAGAAATGTCTTTTCTTTCCCCTAAAGTAAAATAAACTCGTCCCTTTATTTACTCTATACAGTATTTTCAAGTCAACCCACTTCCTCTACCTTTGTCTTTGTTTTTGATAAGGCCTTGAAGAATGAGGATGAAGTGGAGGTTGTTCTCCGTGTCACTTAGCGTCAACATGGCGATGCCTCCCATGCCTGCGTTCTCCTCCTCTGACGTCAGCGTTGAGCTGAATGTCTCTGTCCGCAATGAATAATAAACATAAACTGAGTATTTGTATTCGCTTACGGACCTTCGGAAATGTGCATACAACTCTGCCACTTTGTAAACACTGAGATTATTGAGTACAAGATAATAAACACATGCTAACCAATTCACTGGTCACTCCATTAGGGACACCTGCAGAATGTCATGGGATGCAGTGTAGCAATGTAAACTAGTTAAAAAGACATTCATTGTCTGGTGAGATTCGGGATGTAACGATTGCGGTGATATCGTGCTATTCAAATTTCCGCGATATCGTCGTCATCATCATACGCCATGTTATAATATTAACTCCTATTTTCATGGCAAACCCTCCCCCTCAAAAAACGTGCCATGCTCTGCATTGGCAAGAAGGATGGCGAAATTCAGCCTTTGTGCCCTTTGTCTAAGGGCAGTGCTTCTCAATCTTTTCTTCTTGATGTAGGTAGCCATTGTGAAATATTTTTTCAGCCAAGTACGGCCTTAACCAGCGCAAAGCATTTTGGGAAGGAAAAAAAAAGAAAAAAAAAACCCCGGAGTGCTGTGCCATCAGTGTCTGATTTATTCAACTTTGGAACTGTATTTTTAGTCATATCGGTTGAGCTATTTGGATATCTAGAAATATAACTGAAAAAACGAAAGAAAGAAGGAACTGAATTATAAATATGGTTTTGAGTACCTAAAAATAATTCAACTTAAAGTGTTCTCCTTTGGGATAATATTAAGGACTTGTTCATAAAAATAAACCATTATATGAATTTTAAATTAAAAAACGATTTGCAAAAAAGGAAAAAAAGGCAATATAGGAAATATCGACTGGATAATTAAAAAAGAAGACTGTCAAAACTGAACACTGCACTGTTGTACTGAGCTGAGTCTTTTTTTGTCTTTCGTGAGACATTTTAGTGAGACACTTGGGCTCGTGCTTCACTGAGGATCTTTGTCATTCTTGATGGCAGGGAGGCAACTGATGTGACCAAGCCCTGTTATTTTTTTTTTTGCATTTCAAATCGATTTTAAAATTTCAAGTATCCGCTGAGGTGCCTTAAAGTATCCCCCCGAGGAGTACTTGTACCTCCGTTTGAGAACCACTGATCTAGGATACTGATCAAGGCTGATTTGGGCAAATTCCCTTGTGAGAGGCTATCAAATTTGGGAAGCTGAAATTCACCCAAAAATGGCAGCATAAAACCAAAATTAAAGACTTTTGTTCTAATTCATGCTGAGATCCTTGAGTATTTTTTTTTTGCGTCCCAAAATGGCTGCTTCAAACCAAAATTGGAACATGAAAGGTCTTGTTATATTTAATGAAGGCTCCTTCTGATTTTTCCAAGAGTCCTAGAATTTTGCGTCAGTCGGTGATCACCAGATTAAGAAATACCAGTAATTAGAGATCGACAATGCGATGCATTGTGACGTCCCAGAAAAGCTCACCAGCGAACAGAGCCCTGTGTTTGATGACCTTCCCTTCCACTTCCTCCGGTCTACCGGTTGACGCACTCATGCTTATGTGCAACTGCTCATTCTGCAGCTGCCGTAGAAAAGGCTTGGCAACGTTTTTCCATACACCGCAGATCTGTCCAAAACAAAACAGAAAACAAAATGAGTAAATCTGGGACTATTCATTCTCGACGGCGCAGATTTGGATCTACGGACAAGCATTTATCCACTGACGCTCGTAGACAACACATCAAATGAGTGACTTTCCTTTCACCCCCGGGCTGCAAGAGAAGAAACGTGTGCGCGTGCCGGCGCCTCATAACTCAGAGTTCAGGGGTAATCTCCATTCTAATTAGCGCGTGTTTGTCCCCTTGCTAGGCGGTGATGTAACATGTGAAAAATCCGCTCCTTCCCAAAAGTTTTGCTCAGGCGCACTCCCTCATTCCTTCTCATTCCTTTTATGCGCTGGAGTGTTTTCTACACGGCTGTCTGGTGTTTGACACTGACATTTATCTAAAAATAATAATAGGCCAATTTCTGGGACCTGTGTTTAAGGGGCTCCTGCCTTGCGGAGCTCAGCTCGAAATGGAATGTGCCGTATGTGTATTTTGGCACGAGGTGATATGTAGCGATCGCTTTAGACATCGGGGAATATGCGGACATGCATGTCAGGCTACTACTGTTACATCCATATAACCGCTGACAAATTTATGATGATAGTTTCGGGTTTTTTTAATGCAACGCCACGTCAGACGCTCAGTTTTCCTGAGCTATTCCATTTTCTCCTTTCGAGTGAGTACTTCTTGTTTGCAGCCAAAGTGATTCATGTTTAAGGGATCTCATGAAGCCAGAGACTGCGTGTGCGTGCGCCGCTGTTTATTGCTGCGGTGCGACTTTTGGCCAAAAAAAAAAAAAAAAAGGCATGAAGTCAATGCATATATGACCAAGTGAGTTATTTTGTCTTTCAGGAAGCACATAGATATATCCATGCACACATCATGAAAACACTGCTCACAGAAGCATGGTGATTTTATTTTTCCAGATGAAATCTTACCATGTCTGACTGTCCCTTGGGGACTTTGTACTCAAAAGCAGCGGCGCCATCTGTACCCAGGAAGAGGATTTTACTGGGACGGGCCATTCTGGAATAACAATCGATTATATAAGTGAAGTGGTGGCAATCATTTACTTACGCTCTTGTTTTGCTCATTCTTAGCGACTATTTACTTTTGGTACGTGATGGAGAAGGCCAGGCTGGTTCTGGTCAAAGAGAAGCGAGCTCTGGCAACTGCGCTGGAGCTTGGCAGCCATGATTCTGTCACTCCTGTCAACAGCGCTACAAAGTCTGCAGAGAGGGTGGGTAATTTTGTCTGCAACACATGCTGGCTCAAATGTTTTTTTTCGAAATTAATATGCCATGAGTGATGTCAGTTTTTAAGTGGTTTTTTTTTTTTTGTGGGACCTGGTGGTCCATCTGTGGGTGTTCCGACTCACCAGTGCGGCTCTCCTCCGGGCCCATGTCCTCCGAGCTCAGGTAGGATCTGTCGTTATAAGATTTGTGCAGGTCGTCCTCCTTCCCTTTGCCCTTTTCATGGAAATACTCAAAGCTGTCCGGAATCGGATTAGTTCGTTTCTTGCCTTCCTCACCTGCACGTAGAAGAAGAACCAAATGCTGCGGGAATGTATCCAAATTTGCCACAACTACTACGAAAGCAAACAAATTAAGTTCAAGTCACATTTTAAGCAATTATATCGTTAATGTTATTTCTCTTCTGGGTATGGGAGCGAGTATTCTCTTTTATCAGGCAAGGCCAAACAACGTTCTCAAAGCACATCCTGCTACGTGTTCCCCAAAGTCTGGCGGACAGATGTGACAATAGTGTCAGCTGTTTGCCTTTGTTCCTGCATTTGCATTTGAGGATGAAATATGTGAACATGGGCAGCCAAAGAGGAAGCGTGGCAAGTGAGAAAGAAGAAGAGCATGAAGTGGACATCAGACACCACCTAATTTAAAAAAAAAAAAAAAAAAAATCAGTGTTGAGTTCCTGCTCTTTTGTAAAGAGGATTGAGAAGGGCAACCTTGAATCGTGACGCTAATGCACTAACTCCGCAGCAATATTTGGGTATCAAACGGGAGTTCAGAACTTTGTGAAAGATTCTCCCATCCCATTAAAAATACGCCAGAGTGTTCTGGCATCCTCCAAAATTTCAAAAGCATGCAAATTGGGTTAATTGTCGACTCTAAATTGTCATGAGATGTGAATGTGAACGTGTGGTTGTTTGTCAACAGTGCCGGGAAACAAAATATTTGCTCTCTTGTCAAATTCTTACTTCTTGCTATGTTAATTTTTAAGATTATAACCCAAGATAACCCAATACAGATAACCGATACATTGGAGGGGCTGAGAAAATAAATACAGTATATGTTGAATTAAATGATGGAGGGGCTAAACTGGAGCTACACAAATTTGTGACAGTGCTATGACCTTGTAACCATTTCCATACTGGTAGAGGTCAATGAATTATTTCTCATATTTTCTTGAATTTCTTTCTATCATTGCATTCTGTTCCAGCTTTTTTGAGATTTTTTTTGACCAGCGCCATTTTGCCAGGCAGGTTCTGTTCTCTTGATTGAACGGGTCTGGTGCTAATCCAGCTCGGGTGAAATTCGTGAAATGAACGGAAAAAATGCGATTAGCCACATTCAAGTCACCATTTAACAAAGTACTTTTCCACACAGGGTCAATTAGCATTGAAGATATGCAATTTTATTAATCAAATTTTGCCCTGCGATGGGCTGGCAACTGGTTCAGGGTGTCCCCCGCCTACTGCCCGAAGTCAGCTGGGATAGGCTCCAGCACACCCCACAACCCTTATAAAGGGGATCAGAAAATTGATGGATGGATGGAAATCAAATTTTAAAACTGCATTTTATATTTACTTATCTTTGTCTAAGCTTTATAGTTGTTTGAAGATCTTAAACGTCAACGTGGGGAAATCATGCAAAACAAAATAATTTTGGAAGGGGGCAAATACTTTTTCATGGCACTGTGTATATGTCCTGCAATTGGCTGGAGGACACATCCAGGATGTTGTACTCTTGCCTAAAGAGCAAATCTCGGCTCTCTATCTTACTACCTGTAACCCGAAACTGATGGATCGTCATTTTTATTAGGGGAATTACAGTATATCACAATATAAATTCTTGCACAAACGTGATCAAATGCCAAAGCACTGACACTTTGTAAAGCTATTGTTATTTTTCCACAATATACACTAAATTTTTTTTTTTAAGAAACCGAATGGACATACTGCTTTCTCTCTTGGTGTCTGATTTGCATACACACATCATCACTTGTCAATGCTCCACAATGCACACACACTTGGCTTCTGGGTAGTGTCACACTCAAGTTCCCCCAACCTAGTAATAGTCAACACTCAGGTGCCCCAGCGAGACACACACACACACACACACACACACACACACACACGCACACACGCACACATGCACACACGCACACACGCACACACACACAATTTTTCCAGCACTTGCACAAATATACAAGCTGCCTTTGTGCCAAAGCTAAGACAAATACAAAATACACTCAACCTTTTTCGTAAACCATAACCATAACACATACGCAGTCATGACCCTATCCTGAGTTTGACAGGAGACACGCACGCACGCATGCACACACACACACACACACACACACAACAACACACCCCAACCCAACTTATTGAACATATGTGGGTACACACACACACACACACACACACACACACACACACACAGAACTCAGTGTTGTCCTCCTGATGGAGGCTGCGATGCTTTACCTTTTACTTTCCATTCCATTACCAGACACCGAAAAAACACCCAATCTACTGAATAAAAGCAGCATGTACCCCCACACAGTTTGCGTTTTTGTGTTCATGCGTGCGTCAGTGGAGCAATATTTTAATAAGATGGAATTGAATATGCGCAGCTGTGTGTCGGCAAGCCCGGCAACACCGTGAGGCTAAATGGATTGGCGGTGTGTTTACGTTAGTGAAGAGATTTGGGCCAGGCTTTGTCCAATCAAATTGGACAATCAATTAATCTCCTTACGCCGCCCAATTGATGATCCATTCTTGTGAAACTGCCATTCCACATATGGAGGTGAGCATGAACGTATATTGCACAGGTGTCAAAGTCAAGGCCCGGGGGCCAGATCTGGCCCCGCCACATCATTTTATGTGGCCCGCGAGAGCAAATCAAGCATGTCAAGTTCCATGATGCTTGCTAAAGTCTGAACCAAAATTTCAAATTGTCATATGTAATCCATAATAACAGTCATTATTTTTGACTTCTGATTTTAAAACTAGTTATCCATCAATTTGTTGTGCGCTGTGTATGTAATATGTGGCGGTGATTAAACATTTATATGGTTTCCCAAAATTCATAACGGCCCTCGAAGGGAAACTGTAACTATAATGTGGCTCGCAACAAAAATGATTTTGACACCCCTGGTATACTGTATATACATAGACGCATGTCCTGTATAATTTTACAATTCAATGAATATTGGTCGACACTTTTAAACAAGTTCTTTCAATTGAAGACTATCCTTTTTTCTTCGAAAAAAATACATTTTCAATGATAACACCTGCCTCCAATTCAAATACAGTATTTATATCAGAAAAATCATGTTTTTCTAAAATGAAATTGACATAAAATGTAATAATAACAATAATAATAATAATAATATCAATAACAATAATAATAATAATAATAATAATAATAGTAATAATAATGAGCGGCACAGTGGTTGACTGATTAGCATGTCTGCCTCACAGTGCAAAGCTACAGGGTTCAATTCCCCGGCCTTCCTATGTGGAGTTTGCATCCCCCCCCCGTGCCTGGGTGGGTTTTCTCAGTCTCCTCCCACATTGCAAAAACATGCACAGTAGGTTAATTGATTACTCTAAATTTTCCTTAGGTGTGACTGCGAGTGTGAATGGTTGTTCGTCTACTGTATGTGTGCCCTACGATTGGCTGGCAACCAGTTCAGGTTGTACCCTGTCTTTTGCTCGAAGATGGCTGGGATAGGCTCCAGCTCACCCGCGACCCTTGTAAGCATAAGCGGTTGTGTTAATGGATGGATGAGTAAATAAATGAATAATAATAATAATTCTCTAGTCTTGAGCCGAGAAAAGAAAATGTAGACAGATTTTAACAGACATGTAGATTACCTTTTGGACAGGTTTTGCAGCAGTGTCCTGGCAACAAGATGGGATCATCACAGTCTGGATCAGGACAGTCCTGCTTTATGTTCTTGCAGTTGACTTTCCCAAATACCTTTCCACGGCGAGTCTTTTGCTGCATGAGATCAGTGGAAATGATTACAAAATGGCGTGATAAGGGAAAGAAAGCATGTAGTTTGCATTGAAAACTTACAGGGTCACAGTGGCACTGGACACAATGCATGACACCAAAGGGGTCCCCCAAATCTGGGTGCCATGAGTCCTCTAGCGAATAGAACCGACCCCCAAATGAGCATCCTGGAGAAGAAATGTTGAAGAGTACATTCTTGACTCGGTAGAACCTTACAACATAAACAATTTGGCATGACTTCACCACTAACTGGTGGTTTCGAGCAAGAAATGTGTGACACAAAGAAAGTATCCAATTTGCAGTGAACCAGCAACATCCTGCACAGCTCAATGCCCTGGCATGTTGGAGAGGAATTGAAACGCCCAGAATGCTTCACAGATTTTGGTTCCATGCATGGGAGCCATTCAACTTTCCACAGGGCGATTACCAGAGGCTCCCTGGCGTATTATACGACATGTTCCAGATTATTCCTTTTAAAGAGAATTATTTATATCCAACGTAGTGCATAAAAGCTGATGATGAGATTTAAATTTTATTTGCCAATTAAGGGCAAATGAAAGGAGAACTGCAGTTACAAACTAGTCGAAATAGAGCACATCCTGTTTCGACTCACTGCTAGTGTCTTTTATTATTGCTATGGTAACATCTTGATTTAGTTTTGTGCATGTTGAGAATAAACAGATTTCCATTGTCCCCGATTAAAATGATTGCACTCCTTCAACTAGTCCAAACTGTGGGCCACTTCAGCTTGAAATGAATCATCTGCAAGGAGCACATGCTTGTCATGGAAAGTCGATTGATTAGATTTTCCATTGCTGAATTACACATCGAGGTGCTCTGCCGGCTCGTTTACTGCCTCGTAAAAAGCTGCAAGAGGCTTTGAACGCGCGGGGATTTTACACATGCATCAAAAAGGTGGTTATGACTCACATGTATGCCTTTACGTTACGCATGAAGCAACGCAGGAGAGGCTTAAACCACAACGACACTTAGATATCGATAAATACTTTGTCCAAAGAAAACTTGTCGCCATGATAATTCATATATTTCTCGAATGAGTTGTAATAGAGCTCTTTACCTGACAGGCCTTTAGAAGGCAGAGGTTCTCTCTCAGACTGGATAGGCAGCGAGTGAGACTTGAGGCGCGAGGCGGTTTCCACGCACGCACAAACGCAACTGAGCACGCACAACACCGCGCGGAGCACACGTGGAACCAGCATCGCCGCGATCCGTTTGCTGGTTTCTGCCTGCGAGATTCTTCACCACCCAAAAAAAAAAAAAAGAAAAAAAAAAGAATTGCAATCCCTGCAATTGTTTTGCAATCGCAGATTATAAGACAACTTTATGGCCCAGCAGTGTTCTTCTTTGAGCAACAAGTGACAAGTTCAGTGCAGTGTGGACCACAATCCTCCGAAGTGCCGTCCCTCTCACTTTTATAGCCTGCTTCCCTGACAGTTTGAAACAGCCACCGGCTGGGAAGGGTGGGGGGGATAATAGGTGGGATGGGTGATGGGGGTGGGTCAAGGCTGGATTACCAATTGGAGCCCCCCACCACACCCCCATCCCACCACCACCACCGCCACTAGGGGCCCCTAGAAGACTAAACTTCTTCCATGAATGTCGTGCCGTCATTCTTTGCGAATTACATATAAATATCGACAATTTTAACATTCTTCCAATCCTCCCTGCACAGTTCCTCGTTCGTTGTATTATGAGTTTCAAATCCTACTCTGAACGTTTTCTTGATCCATATATTGTCAGGTTACAATCGAAACAAACTTGCTTTCTGATCTCCTCTTTAAATACTGTACATTGAAGTTAGTTGTCCTTTATTTTCTTTTTAGTTCGGTCTTACGTCAAATGACTCTCCAGTGCATAAATAAAGAAACAATGCGACAGAAATAGCGTAGGATCATGATCGAGCTTGTACTTTATTGTGAAAAATGCATGTGCGTTTTTAGTTGGCTGAACCTTTCAGCTCCCCTAACTGCTCAGACCTAAGTGACTTAACAGAAACGAATGAAAATATTTGGAACAGCTAAAGACAACGCTATTCAATTTGTACTGGCTCTCTGTGCACAACTTTTTCCTTTCTATTGTTTCTTTTGGCTTACCCGAGAGCTCAAACCTGGACACTTCCACTTAAAATCCCATGCGCTGTGATGTCATTAAATTGAATGAGCGCAAATGCCAAAAGCTATTTAAAGTGGAATTTATCTGCAGGGCATTTTAGACACGGAAATTAATTGGCATCAACCCCGAAATTATCATTTCAAATCAATTATATAACCCATTTGTGGCACAAAAAAAAACGTGAGCGATCACATAAACACACATTTAACTAAAATCAATAAACGACTTGTCTGGGAGAAGTGAATGCATTAACTGCCATATATTAAAATCCCATACTCCCACCGTTCACATCAGGGAATGTGGGAAATATTTCCACAAGCAACACTCGCCTCGAGTGTCTATATGCTCACCGCCGCGTAAACGTGTCACATCCAATCGGTTTTGGTGTGCCAAAAGCGCCGAGCGAGGTGTGAGCGCAAGGTGTTATTTTAATGCATATGTCACAGAACGTCTCCTGCGGGAGCCACTTCCCACAAGGTGCGGGGATTCACGCTGAAACCCCCCCCCCAACAATGAGAGTCGATGATGGCCTGTTTACACTTCATCATCGAGTGCTAAGCGAAGCTTTTCTCCTTGCACTGCCTGCACACAGTCATTCATTAGGGTAGACGGCATTCGAAATTGTCCATTGGAGAGTTCACAGAAACGCAGGCAATTGGCAGCGCTGGGACAATTTTGTGTATTGGACTCAATCCAGTTCATGTTTTCAAATTACGTTTAACATATGGAGGAAGGTTAACTCTTTAGTCCTCTGATTAAAATGCTTACTTACTCATTCTATTGTCATAGCAAACAGTACGATATGCTGTAATATGTCATTTTTACTTGAGAAAGCAACACTGGCAAACGATTTTTACTATTTCTTTTTTTAATCAGAGCTGCAATTAAGTTTTGTAGAGTCATGTTTTTCCCCAATTCCGAATCTGCCGTCGTTTTTTCTCAAGCACATCAGGTTTTCATAAGAACACTAATAATAATCTCACAACGATAAAAGAATATGTAATACAGTCATATATCTAATCATATTTATGAATAAATGGTTACGTTCAACAACAGGTGTATTTTTTTTCCTGAAACGTCATAGCTATAAAATATAACACAACGCATTGGAACAACAAATCTGTGTTGCGTTTAAGGTCACAGTTAAAAAAAAAATGATGGGATTAAAAAGTAAAGTTTTTTTTTAACTCAGCGTCATATTTAGGCACACATAAAGTGATTTCTGATTAAAATAAGTTATTGATGGTGTAATGTATTGGTGAAAAGTTGATGTTTGATTTTTACTTTGTTTCTTCCTTTCCCTCTCTCTCTTTCGCTCTCTCTCTTCCCCACTTTCAATCCATCCGTCATCTATCTATCTATCTATCTATCTATCTATCTATCTATCTATCTGTCTGTCTGTCTGTCTGTCTGTCTGTCTGTCTGTCTGTCTGTCTGTCTGTCTGTCTGTCTGTCTAAAAATGAAGCATTCCTCTCCAGAAACATGGAGCAGCAGTAAGAGATTTCCAGGCGGAAATGCGTGGCCATTAAAAGAACGTTATCTTGCGCGTGAGCGTGAGGGCATGGGCGGTTACACATCCATAATGGTGCGTAATGGTTGCATCGGATGGATACACACTCTCAATCACGGCGCTGTGTATTTGCCGGTGTCTGACAGACGCTTTCGGAGCCATTAATACGGATTGTTTAACGATATCACCCCCTTCACAATTAACTTCTCCTCCCCCCAAACTGCTCTGCCTGACAACGCAGCGCCCACTTGGGACCGCATGCTGTTTGCTGTTCGGTCTTGGAGGCGTGAATATTAAACCCATGAGTTATAATAGCCTGGCAGATGTGCGAACACCTACCCCCATCACCCAAATCCTGCTCTCCATCTCACCACCTGTCCCCTATCCCATGATAGCTGCATAACTTAGTGTAATGTTTGTCTTAAAAATAATGCAGATGTGTCGGTGGGATATTTAGAAGTAAAGGAAAAAAATGCTGTTTAATCGACGAATGCCTAATTTAAGGCACTGAAGAGACTGGCGCACGTTTGCCTGAAATCCTTTCTGACTCAGGTTTGGATAAGATCGCTGCGTAATGTCGGGTGTCCCGTTTTTAATACTAGATAAAAGCCATTAAAATAAATTGTTTCCCCACAACAGGAGCCGCAGTTGTTAATCTAACCACATCGTTGCATATCAGTAAAAGCAAGATGTGGCAGGGAACAAAATGACGCAGCAACCAAACAAGAGGCTCATGTTGCTTTCCAGCCACTGTTATGCTGATGTCAATCATGATGGTAATAAGAGGCGTACCGCTCACTTGTAAAGCTAATTTTTGCACTGCTTCTGCGGCGGAAAGAAGCGGAAGGGCCTTTCCTCTCAATATGCAAATTGTAGAAGTCTTGCAGAGGCGATGTTTATTCATACAAATGGCATCAATTTACAGACAGTCCAAAATTCGACGACAGAAACAGGACTTTTGTTTCTTCCGTATAAACCCCGCCCCCTCCCTCGTCTGAATTATTCAACTTCCTTTGTAAATAATCTGCATTTGTATATTTGCAAACTTTGCTAACCTTCAATAATTGTTTGTATATTAATCGTGCAAAGATATAGTTAAACTGTTATTATTTCGCTGGTTCATTGTAATCTGGAGTAAATTTGTAACTGTTGCAAATACATATCAATCTCAATGATTTAAAAAACGGCCTACTTCATGGTGGTGGTGGAATATGAATGCAATGCTAAGAATTAGTTTTTTCAAGTCATAATTGTTTTCATAGTTAAAAAACAGGTCCGTGGAATGGAATATGAAATTCACAAATAAGAGGTCTTGCGATAACGAGACAAACACAAGGATGCTTCTTTCAGATCCACAAATTCAAAATGAAAGTTATGACTGGTCGCTTACAGAGATACAAGAAAACAGACTTTCATGTGTCTTTTATCACAGCTTTATTAGTTTAATAGTTTTTTTCCATTGGTGTCGACATGTTGTATTGTCGGTTTGAATTGATTTATTTATCGACTTGACTCGTGTTAACACTACTCATGAATGAAAAAAATAAGACCTACTGTATATTTGAATCCTTATTCAAGCTCCACAGATAAATAGAAACGGTAGTGTACATAAAGTTGAATTCGAGTTTTAAAATGAATGGGCTTATGAATTTGATACCTATTCAGAATTAACAGCTGACCTTTGAAGTTGTAGCGTGTATGCCACCAACTGCTGACCTCTTTGCCCCCTCCGGGCCCTGGAAAACACACAGTGCGTCAGGTTAGTCTCATTTCTGTTTACGCAAGTGAAATTGCTTCCACACACTTTTGTGCACATTTCCGAAAGCCGATAGAAGTGCACTTAACCAAAAGCGGTCACGGCACACGCACATTTTAGTAGGCTGAGCATGAAACATCAACGCACAGTCATTGCTGATGAATGCTGGTCGTGGCGACAGTCTAATAAGAGCCTTTTTGACTCACCGGCCATTATCCAGTCTGCTGGTGTGTGTGTGCAAACTGAATGATGTGTAGTTGACAACTGGCCAAAATCAACCTCTTATTTTTCAGCACTAACGTTTGATTTAAACCAAACATTTGTTCATCGTATTATAACACTGTAATTTAATTCGAATAGAAAAAAAACATAGCCACTAAAAACAATAAGATGATATGAGGCTCTAGAGAGTTGACATCAGTGAATCTAAAAGTGACTGCATAGAGACTGAATAAGTAAAGTTCCCAAGTGAAAATATACAGTGCAGTAAATTGGGGCCTCTGAGCTTATTCGCTTGAATCTTTATTAGAATCATTAAAATCCTACCAGCTAAATACGGTATTATTTGGACAACATATTTTTTAAAACAAAATGATGACTATATAGTATATAGGAGTATCTCACAAAAGTGAGGACACCCCTGACATTTTTGTTGCATTATATTTTGTGGGCTAAGAAATGGGACTTTGCTGCAAAGTAGCCAATGTTGTCGAACAAAATAAATTCCCTGTCCGCTCAAATTAACTCAATAGCCACTAATGTCTAAACCAGTACACCTCAAAGTGGGCGCCCCGGTGGTCCAGTGGTTAGCGCGTCAACCTCACAGTGCAGAGGTCGTGGGTTCGATCCCGCCTCCGGCCTTCCTGCGTGGAGTTTGCATGTTTTGGGTTCCCCACACATTCCAAAAACATGCATGGCAGGCTGATTGAACACTCCAAATTGTCCCGAGGTATGAGTGTGAGCGCGGATGGCTGTTTGTCTCTGCGTGCCCTGTGATTGGCTGGCAACTGGTTCGGGGTGTCCCCGGACTACTGCCCGAAGACGGCTGGGATAG